TGGTGAAGTTCATAAGAATTCTTTCTTGAGGCAAAATTGCATTCTTTTGAGAAGAAACACATACTGCAGTGCTGCATAAATCTGGTTTGGGTGTTCTAGTTTCTTCTCTTTGTTTCTTTACATTCTTTATTGTATTGTTGGTGCCTGGAATTGTGGGCACTGGTTTTCTACAGCTGGAATTTGGCTGTAGGGTTGGTCAAGAACTGGAATTTGGTTCTTGGTGAAGGTTTAGGTGCAGGAACTGGAATTGTGGTTTCTGTGGTAGATTGAGTGTGAGATTAAAGTTGTAATTTGTAAAACGTTCAATCTAGTGGAACCCAGCAGGAATTTGGCTGGAGACTGGACGTAGTCCTGGGATTGGGTGAACCAGTATAAACCTTGTTGTATCTTCCTAAACCTTTCTCTTCTTTAATTCTGTCACTGCATTTATTTTTTATTGCTTGCTGTGTGATTCAAGAACTGGTCTGAAATCTTAATCTTTGAAATAGATAATCTGTAATTTTCGAAAATCTTTCAAAGATCAATTCACCCCCCCTCTTGATCTCAGCCTACATTTCTAACAAAAAGGGTTTGAACTTATATCAGACATGTCTATTAATTTCCATAAAATTTGTGTGGTGGGAGTGAATACTGATGAAGACTTTGTGGAACTAGCAATTTTCTTCATTGTCGTAGGAGTCACCTGCCTGTTAAATATTTGGGGCTTTCTCTTGGAGCGAATCCTAGATTGCGGGTCACCTGGCAGCCTGTGTTGGATAGTATACGACGTCGACTTTCATATTGGAAGTATAGGTATGTTTCAATTGGTGGTCGTGTCACTCTTATTAACTCGGTGCTAAATTCTATTCCTATCCATTTCCTCTCCTTTTTCAAAGTCCCTAACTCTGTGGTGAAGGATATTATAACTATTTAGAGGATTTTTTTGTGGAATGGGGTTAAGGATCTGTCTAAGATCCCTTGGGTTCGGTGGGAGTTGGTGTGTCGGCCGAAGGATGTGAAGGTGTTCAATTACGCTTTACTTGACAAATGGATCTGACGTTGTTTATCATATCCAGGGGCTCTTTTGGCGCAGGTTATTCAGGTAGGTATGGCCTGGTCCCGTCATTGTTGAGTGTGTGTTTGGCGGATCGACGTGCTTCTAGTTGGTGACAAGATCTTGTGTCTACTTTACAGTTAGGAGGACAATGGATTGATGAGAAGATATTACAGACTGTGGGGGATGGTACTTCGACGACATTTTGGGAGGATAGGTGACTGGGTGGTTTTAGGCTAAAGGAGGTCTTTCTCAGATTATATTTCTTTGCTTTTGATCTCTATTCGGTTGTAGCGCAAAATGGTCATTAGTCTGGAGAGAATTTGGTTTAGGGCATTCCTTGGCGTTGTCTTCCCTTCTCATTTGAGTTGCCATTGGTAGCAAGTTTGATGGAAATTCTGGATGGATTTGTGTTGCGTCCTCACCTGGAGAATCACTAGTGTTGGTTGGTTGATACTTCAGGGCTATATTCTGTTAAGTCTGCTTATTGTTGGTTGTTGACACTTCTGGGTAATATTTCGTCTCTTGATGTTACTCTTCAGGAGGTGTTATGTATACTTTGGAAATGTATAGTACTTATCAAGTGCTTGGTGTTTTCTTGACAACTTTTCTTGAATTCTGTTACCTGTAGGGGCGTGGTGTGCAGTTGGATTCTGCTTTGTGTCCTATGTGCGATTTATTTGTAGAAGATCTGATGCATCTTTTTGTTTTTTGTCCGGTGACATATAATACATGGATGAATATTTTTGTTGGCTTGGTGTTAATTTTGTTATGCCTTCTTCTTTGGTGTCCTTTTTTCTTGTTTGGTGTGACCAAGAGAGGAGTAATAAGCAATCCCAATACTTTGTTATTATTTGGGTTGCGGTCATCTGGTCTATTTGGTTGCACCAGAATTGTGTGGTCTTTAATCAAGACGTTGTGGATAGGTTCGACTTGCTTGACTTTATTCGTCTGCATTCTTGGAAATAGATTTCTTCGGCTGATATGAGAATGTCTTTTAGCCTTGTAGACTGACATAATAATCTTTGGATCTGTTTTGTTTAGTGTGCTTCTTATGTAATTCGTGTTTTTTTAATGACATTTCTCTGCTTTGTATTGAACTCTATTTTTTGGGCTATGAATACCTCTTGTATTCAACTTAATTAATTTTATTTGCTTATAAAAAAAATTTAGATCATCATTTTCCTTAATTTTCTCTATTAATTCATATTTTATGATTGATAATGTGTTAGATTTATCTTTATGCTATTTAATTTCCTACACATTTATTTTTAAGTAATTTACTTTTATAGTTTTTTATTATTTTTGCCATTTATCTTAAATGTTTCAGATTATATTAAATATAAAGATTAAATGTTTCAGGGTATAAATTATATTAATTATTATCGAAAAATGAATTATTTATACTAAAAATAATTTGACAAACTAAAAATATAAAATGAAAAATTTATAAATTTAATAATTGACATTTATAATTTCATCAATAACATAAAAAATTGTCTATTAAAAACTTAAATTCTAAAAATAAACAACATTGGTAATTTTGTTTTAGTGGAAAAAAAAGTCTGAAATTTCTTTAAATTTACTAATTTATATTCTAAATATGAGATGGAAATGCTCCACAGAGCAAATCTTGAATAAACAATTGCAAGTCAATATTGAAAAAATGTGGGACTATTTAGATATTTGAACCTGCAGCTTATTTAGATTGGTTTATCTAACTCCTGCTTGCATAGGTGGAAGAATATTAATTATTCTTATTTTTTTCTTTTACATAAAAAAAAATAAAGAATAGTATTTCTATATGTGTTATTTAATGGTACAACTTAGCCCAACCGTATTTAGATTCATCTCATATTTGTAGTTCAAAGAGGTTAAATTGTAGATTATAATGTGGGAAAGGATACACTGACCTGTATAATTTTTTTTAATATTTAAATTAATAAATTATTATATTACTTTTTTTAATATTAATGATCATTTAATGTATTATTATTTATTGATTTTATTATTTTTTTAATTTGACTCGTAATTACGTATGATTAAAGTCATCAAACAAGAAAAAGAAAAAAATAATTATATATAATTAAATTATTTATTTTAAAAATTTATTATTATATTTATTCTAACTTTTATAAATTAAAATTTGAGAAAAAAATATATCATACTAATATTTTTTAATTATTATGTTGGTCAATTCCGATAACCCCAAGTTCATATTTATAAAAACCGAATCAAAATATTCATCAATTGTTTGTCTATCTAGAGAAAAATTTTAAAAATATAATTTTTGAGAATATTATTTAATTAAATTTCTACACAACTAGTTTTTATTTAGAATTCAACTCTTTTAATTGAAAAAATTATTACAATAAAAATATTATTTTATTATTTTATATTATTTAACATGAAAAATCATTAATGCTTTTATTAAAATTAGACAATGCACCATGCATATGCATGAAATAAATATTCAACAATACCCAAGTAAATAAACGTTATTATTATTTTTTAAAAATGTCAATAAAATAATATTAAGTGTGGGAAGATAGTGACAGACCCACTCGGCCAATTGCGAGAATAGAACACGCGAAGTGAGCGTGTGAAGAAGGTGAACACGAAAAAGTGACAAGTACTGACAATAATCACGGAAGGTACACACATATCTGATACTGCAGCCAATAAAACCCCAGCCTCTGTTAGGCTGCAACAAAAGATAAAAACAAGTTTCATGTTATAACCAGGGTGGAATCAAAATTAGGTCTCCAGTAGAAGCCACTGCAAATAATTCATATCAAACATCATAGCTTTACGACTATCTAATCTATCACTTTCCTCGTCTAAGGGGACAGTGGCCAACATTCCCCACTACCTCTAAGCTTATTTTTACACGATTCCTTTTTTTTGTTTTCATGTTTCTACTAGTGCATTAACTGGTCCCTGGGTTCATCAATGCCTGCATCGGTGTTGATACAAATGTAGATATTACTGGTTCCATTGGTGTCATTCATCTTTGTAAGATTTTAGTGCATGTGGCGGCACCAATTGAATAATTATTGAATGCATACTAATAGCACATGTTGGTTCTTGATTGGATTAATCTAAATTACCATTAATGCCAATTTGTCACTTTCATTCACAATATGACAAAGGCTAACCAAAGTGGATATGATTAATCAATTAAGATCTTCTTTCATGTTATTTTTACATGCACTTGACTTGACTCTGGATTAATTTAAATCAGTAGTGAGATGGGAATTTAGAGCTTGGTTTTCATAAAAGAACCCCACCTGTCAGGATATGAAACGTGGAGTGTTTTGTATCGGCACAAGTACAACCGCACTGCTATGCAAATGGAATCAGCTCATATTCTAACCAGCTAGCCTTTCATCATTTTTAGTAAATTCAAAGTTGAAATAGACAAACTAACCTATTATTCTACCACAAATACTTGTCACATCGGTTAGTGGGTGAAATAATAAAATGACAAAAAGAAAAAGTGGAATGGATTTTGTTTTTTTCCACACACTTAACTACCATATCATTTATCTTTCTAGCTTATAAGTTAAAGTTAGTACTGGTCTAACAGCAGAGCTTTTCTGGTCAAATTAATTTAATTTCACGTAAACTTAAATAAATGACAGTTGATGAAAAAAGCTTATATTGTTGATGATAAAACTCATATATGGATTTACAGCACATAATTATTTTGAGCAGAAATTGTAAGTTTGCATTTCAATTAATAAAACGGCTTAATTAATTAAGTCACTTAAAATTAACTAATTACCACAAACAAGAACAACACAAATATGGAATGAAATGGAGTGATCACGATCTGGGAATTGACCTGGTTGGTACCCAGGTTGCCTCTTTTAACCGTACAGCTTCACCGGGTCACAGAACAAATGCTTACATATATTTACACACAGCACCAACTCGGTGGCTAACATGGTTTTGTTGCTAATAACTAACACAAAGGCGGCACCGGCAGCGGCGGTTTGAGCGGTGGGTTCTCTACGGTGACAACGAAGGTGTCCGGGCGGGAAGGTTGACACGGACAAGGCATGGCTATGAACTTGGGCACTTCATCCCCAGGCATCAACACTGGCAAGCTCTCACCTTTGTTTTGCTTCACCTCCTAAGAACCATGAAACTAAAATTAAATTGTGGCAGAGTTGAAATGAATTTGTAGTTAAAAATGAAGGTAATTTGACCGAAAAGTTACCCTGGAGGGTTGGGATTGAGTGTGGGAGGGTGCAGGGTGGGGGTGAGAGAGAGATTGGCGAAAAGAGCGTAGCTTGTCCCAGTGGTAGCAGCAGGAGAAGATGCCGCTGAGGCTGAAGATTATGATCAAGAGGAGGGCAGTGCCCAAGGGGAAGCCGAGGGACGGTCGAGATGTGTCGTCGATGCGGGGTGGGGAGAGATCTTGGCCCTCCATCGTGTAAACTTCTTTGTGTTGATGATATGGTTGCTGGTGTTGTTTGGAGTGGCACTGGTATCATCGAGATAAGACCCTAATATTTGAAGAAAAAACAAATTGTAGAGGAAGGGTTTGTTTTTGTGTGTGAAATGTGAACGAAGAAAAAGTGGGAATGATATATAGAGGAGTGAGGTGGAGTGAGTGAGGTACGGAAAGAGCTTCCTTTGGTTTGGTGATGAAGGGCGTCACTGACAGCGATGAGCGTTACCAAAAGCTGCTTTATCATGCATTTTCCTATCATTTTTTTTTAAGGATACTTTTATTTTCTTCCAAAATTTCTCACATTTTTTTACACTCCTTTTCATCATCTCCGATGCATATAAATATCCTACAACCTGTTCCCTTAAATTCAATGACAAGACAACAACTTCGTTGCTTGTAATAATTAGCAAAATTGGATATTTTATTGTATCAGTGTAAAAATCTTCTTACATTTTTTGTTTGTCTTTTTGTTACTTATCCCTGATTTTAAATCGAAATGTTAAAATAACAGCATAAATTTATTATATTTTTAATTTACCTTTTTAAATAAGGTAAATATTTAAGAATTACTAATTTCTAGTTAAGATTGACTTCGGAAAATAAGAGATGCATCTATCCCAATCCAATGGAGAAACGAGGAAGTAAATTAAAGTGCAAAAATCATATAATGTTTTGTCCCATAAATACTATAATTTTAATTTACAAATAATGCTATTCAATAGATGTTAGACCTAACAAATATTTTCTAACAAAATTATAAGTGTGGCATGTAGAAAGTTATCTCTCAAATGTTTATTTGCTTGCAAGGATGTAAACAAAAACATATTTATAGTTAGAAAGAAATTTGAATGTTTATGAAAAATAAGAACAAACCAATGCTTTATTGGAAGGTATTTAATATCTTACTTTCTGTTTAAGTTAAAGATACAAATTTCTGTTTAAAAGTTGTAAGACATTTAATTGAATTTAATAATTTTTAAATGCAGTTATATATTTATTTAAAATCTTTATTTGAAATGTACAACTCCTAAAGCAGTGTAAATAGGCACTGACTCAGCATACGTAAAAGTTGTTATCAAAATTTATTTAAAAACAAAATTTAATATTTTATTATAGATTTTATATTTCACTTATTTAAAAATAAAAAATATTATTTAAAATTAAAAAAAATACTTGAATATAAAATATTTAATTTTATTATTAAACTATTATAGTTTAATTTTTTTTAATACGTCCTGACTCAGTAATACCTCACTTTCATACAAATTAAAGTGCTTCTTTTAATATTATGGTTGCAATTTTTTGTTGTTTTTGATGCACACGTGTAATAAATTTTGATTTGATATGGAGTAAATCCAACTAAGCCCTGGAGTAGGAAAGAGTTATCAACTGAGTCTTTAAATGCAAATAAATAGAGTAATGCATAACCACGGGTGACAATGCCTGGCCTGCAAGTCAATATTGAAAAAATGTGGGACTATTTAGATATTTGAACCTGCAGCTTATTTAGATTGGTTTATCTAAATCCTGATTGCATAGGTGGAAGAATATTAATTATTCTTATTTTTTTCTTTTACATAAAAAATAATAATATAAAGAATAGTATTTCTATATGTGTTTAATGGTACAACTTAGCCCAACCGTATTTAGATTCATCTCATATTTGTAGTTCAAAGAGGTTAAATTGTAGATTATAATGTCGGTGTATAATTTTTTTTAATATTTAAATTAATAAATTATTATATTACTTTTTTTAATATTAATGATCATTTAATGTATTATTATTTATTGATTTTATTATTTTTTTAATTTGACTCGTAATTACGTATGATTAAAGTCATCAAACAAGAAAAAGAAAAAATAATTAAAATTAATATATAATTAAATTATTTATTTTAAAATTTTATTATTATATTTATTCTAACTTTTATAAATTAAAATTTTAGAAAAAAAATATCATACTAATTTTTTTTTTAATAATTATGTTGGTCAATTACGATAACCCCAAGTTCATATTTATAAAAACCGAATCAAAATATTCATCAATTGTTTGTCTATCTAGAGAAAAAATTTTAAAATATAATTTTTGAGAATATTATTTAATTAAATTTCTACACAACTAGTTTTTATTTAGAATTTAACTCTTTTAATTGAAAAAATTATTACAATAAAAATATTATTTTATTTATTTATATTATTTAACATGAAAAATCATTAATGCTTTTATTAAAATTAGATAATGCACCATGCATATGCATGAAATAAATATTCAACAATACCCAAGTAAAACGTTATTATTATTTTTTAAAAATGCCAATAAAATAATATTAAGTCACATATATATACACTAAATTAAGTATGTGATAATAACTATCTCAAATTTTAAAATTTGTTCATGTAAAACTAGTTGCCTTGCCTGATTATTAGACGTGAAACAATTCCTAGGATTTTTTTTTCAATTTAATATATTAAAAGAAATTGAATTTTAATTTACGATTTTAATGTTCTATCTAAATCAATCTAATTTTTGTATTAGGTTATAAATGTCAATTAATAATTTTTAATGTGACATTTTCATTTTTTAAACTGATGACTAAAACTAAACCAACGTTTTTTTGTCAAATTATAATTAAAAAATCAAATTAAACACTTTAAATATATTTTTCCTTCAAATGTCAATTAAATTTGCATTGAAAAAATGTTGACTATATATTTTCATTGGTGAGGATAAATATTAATTAATTATTAACTTTTAATTTTATTTATTAATTATCAATGTTTTGTTTTTGTTTACTTTTTTAATGTTTACTAAAAAAATTTATTTATTTTATGTATATTTAGGGGGATTGTTTATTACTTATCTCCCTATTTTTATATACTAAAATAAGATGGGTTTAGAAAGAGAAATCAAATTTTGATATTTCTATTCGTTGTGGGTAAAAAATATTTTATATTTTTAAAGATTAGTCTCAAGTCAAATTTGATAATGATGTCTAGTGGCACGTTATGTGTCAAGATGGCGTTTATCTTGGCCCATAATGAACATAAGGATAAGGAAAATGATACTATAGACAAAAGATTAAATTGGAAGCATAAAATGTTACAACGTATTACATGATAAATGATAAGAAAGTAAAATGAGGAAGAAGAAAGTTGTGCATTAATTAAATAAATATGGGAAGAGATGGCAACGGTATCTAGGTAGCATCGAATGGATGGAGATGTTTGTAATGTTGATACCCCTCACACTGTCACCATCCCAGTGGATATGATATGCCGTGTGAACTTCAAATACTTTCTCACTTTACAACACTTCAGTTATAGCCGCCTTTAATTCAAGCAATCGCAACATTACTCAAAACTTTCATATATTACTATACTTTCTTAAACTAAGAGAGTGGAAAAGGAGAGATTTGAAGAGAAATGAAGATAAAGTTAAAGTTGTTTGGATGAATGGAAAGTGAAAGGAAAGTTTATGGGAAATTGTGAATGATTTGATTGATATAAGATATAAAAATTATAATTTTAATTGATTATTTAAAAAAATTATCATTTTACCCTTTGTATAAAATAAGGTTCAAATGATTATAAATATAATTTTTTAATTAATTATCCATATTTTAACATTGATTATATATTTAAAAGAAAAAAAATTTAAAAGTGTTTGTAATTGGAAACAAATTTAAAAAATTAACTTTTTTTAGATAGTTATTAAAAATTATATAAATAAACAATTATAAAATTATTTATATTGCATACCCATATTCAAATAATGTTGACATATTAAAAAATAAATTTTACTAATAATTAAATAATTATAAAATATAAAATAATAATTAATATAAATATAATAAATTAAAATATATACTCAATTAATAATAATAATAATAATAATTTAAAAATTGTAAAATTACAAATATTTATATATGTATACAAAACAATACATAAAAAATATGGTAAAATTAATTTATTACAAATATTTATATATATATATACACTTTTAAGAGCGGTTACAAAGATAACCGCTCTTAAAAGTAACCTGTGATAAGCGGTTATATGATAACCGCTATCTAAAGTTTTCAAATGATCGATTATTTTGCCAAAATGATCGATCACTTTTCCAAAACCTCGACACTTTAGATAGCGGTTCACCTGGAACCACTATCATATGTTCACATCTGATAGCGGTTCCGGAATAACCGCTATCATATGTTCACATCCGATAGCGGTTCCATAATAACCGCTATCTAAAGGCTCCAGAATTTGAATTTATTTTAATGTATAATTATATATATATATATATATATATATATATATATATACATATTCTAAAATATATTTTATATTAATTACTATAATATAAAATATATATTCCACAATATTACTAAAATTTATATATATTATAGAAATGAAAATAAATTATATTTGAGAATATATAATTTTGATAGAAAATTATATAGATATATATATATTCTAAAATATAATTTAACATTTTGAATTCTGAAAGGTTTTCTCTAATAACAAATTAAAAAACATAATATTCAAAAAAATATTTTATTAGCGTTCAGATTTATTTTAATCGATTAAAAAATGTTTTAATCGATTATAACCACTTTGGAAGTCAGGATGATCGATCAGAATGAAATTATGACCGATCGAAGTTGGTTATGATCGATCAAAATTAAATTATGACCGATCAGATTTTTTCAATCGATTAAAACGAACTTTCAATCGATTAAAAATATTTGAAAATTTATGTGCAGATTTTCAATCGATTAAAACGACTTTATATTAGCTAAAATAACTTGGAAAGTTTTATAAGAAGGTTTTTTAGCAAATCAATCGATTAATACGCGAATCAATCGATTGAATTACTCTTTAAAAATGTTTGTAAAATGTTTTAACTGATAAAAACGTGGTCGTATCAGCTAAAACAATTTTGTTAAAGAACAAGAACGCATTAATGGGTTGAAATGACTTTTAACAGATTATAACGGCTATTTCAACAGATTAAAACAAACTTTCAACAGATTAATTAATGCAGCTTTTTCTGAAAACTCTTTTAAAAACATATTTGCTTGGAACTTTTTATATATCAGTTTTCATACAAACTAAGCAATCAATTGAAGCAACTGTTAAGCATCCTTTTCCAAGAAAGATTCGTAACTGCTTTGTGAACTTCTTTTGAAATCTTTCTTGAGGCACTTTTGCATTCTTTGAAGGAGGAACTTACAGTAGATAAGCGTAATCCGGTTTGAGCTTTCTAAGTTTCTTCTTTGCAATTGTTTTTCATTTCTTTGTATTGTGTTGTACCTGGAATTTGGGTACAAGTTTTCTGCAGCTGGTAGGTGGTTGTAGAAGTTTCCAAGAACTGGAATTTGGTTCTTGGTGGAGAGGTTGAGTACAGGAACTGGAATTTGGTTATTGCGAAAAACTTTCAAAAATCAATTCACCCCCACTCTTGATTTAAAACTACTTTTCTAACAATACTCTCGCTCGAGCGAAATATCATCCTGATCGATCATAAATTCAAAATGATCGATCATAATTGGAGGATATCATAGCGGTTCCTCTGTAACCGCTATGTAAAGTATATATTAGATAGCGGTTATGGTTTAACCGCTATTACAAGTTGTATTTCGCTTGAGCGACATTAAACTCGCTCGAGCGAAGACACCTGCACATAATTTTCATTCTCGGGGGGTGTTTTTCGCTTGAGCGAAAATGTTCTCGTTCGAGCGACATTCACATTTTTCGATTATGATCGACTACATTTTCAAATGATCGATCATATCTGAAAATATATAATAGCGGGTAAGATTTAACCGCTATTAGAAGTGTTATTATAATAGCGGTTAAGATTTAACCGCTATCATATATTGCATAAAACTCCATCCGTGGAGAAGAACACAACACTGAAGATGGAGAAAGAGGGAGAATGAAACTCCGATAACAGTCCAGAGGGGAAAACATAGACGTTGATTTCTTTCTTTTTGGGATGCACTGTGTGTTCACATGCAGGAGATGGAGAAGGGTAAATAAGTCATTTATCAGTTGCTGATGTGGCTTTCTCTGCTATCCTCTCAAATCCTCTCAAATCTTCAGGGTGAGCTCTCCTCCCCTCTCCCTCAAATCCGCGCCTGCAAATCCTCTCATATCAGTTGCACCAAACGAATTGAATCTCTCATTTCTGTCTTCGTGAACAGTAAATCAGTTCAAACAAACACAGGCTAAGCTAATGTGTTGGTCAAGAACATTTATATTAAAAAAGTGTCCCAAACATATTCTATTTCAGCCTCCCATAGGAGACAAGGTTATCGTGTTTAGAGTATGTAAAATTTGGAGGTGGGGTGCACCAAGTAGAAGTAGCATTTGATTTCTCAATGTGAAAGAGTGTTGTTATCCATAAGGGAAAGCTAGCTGGAGCAAGTGGACATTATAGCTTATTTTGAAAGCAGGGAAACAAACAACAATTTCGTGAATCATGAATGATCTGTAATAGACTATGCCTGGTAAGCAAAGAGTGGGTTCCTATGTGGATGGTGCACAACTTCCCTTCAATATGGCTGTAACTGATTCCCCATAAATTCTTCCTTTCTATTCCATTTTCATAATTGGATTTGGGACCATTGTGGGCACAAACTGAGATAGAGGACACCTTGTGTACTACTTTTTGGTTTCATGGACTCATACTTTGGATACGAGATCAGATGAGAATCTATGAGATATTTATTTTTTATCTGTCTCGCTAACGCCTTTCCCCTTGGTCCCTGTGTATCTTCCACTGCTGGGACCATTTCACTTCCATTATCCAATCCATGGAATGCAAGCAGCATATGATGCTAATTCCACTTAGCCTAACCTTCATACAATCACTTATCAACCCCCACCTTTGCACCATTTTTTTTAATAAGTTTTTTTCTTTATTTAACCCACCCTCAAAATACACCAAATACTTACTAGTTTTTTTACTCATACAACTCAGCCATGTTCCCATTTGGTTTGAAAATAATTATCTATGTTGAATTCAGATATGTAAGATAGTGATTTGGACTCGTGTTGAAATAATAGTGTGAATTTTTATGTGAGATATTATTTATATTAAAATTTTAATTCCTCATAATTTTATTTTTAACCGAATATAATTAAGGATAGATATAATATCTGTTATGATTATTCCATCTGAAATATAATCTGTTTTGGAATTCTAGTCGTTATAGTTTTATTTTTAAAAAGTGCGTTGATAAATGAAGAGATAATGGTATATATTCGAAAATTTAAAAGTAAATAAATTCTTTTACTCTCTTTTGTATCACAAAATACAAGTTTTTACTAAGATGGTTATATACAGCCTTAAAATATATCAGGCATAATAAACGTGTTCTTGGGAAATCCAAGTTACGTCTTAGACGCTACCGGACCCAATCGCCTAACGGATAAGGGTTTCAATTGGGAGTCAACATTGGGCCACAGGTATGGGCTTGGGCCAGCTTCTTGAACAAAAGGAGTGGTGAACGGTACGCTATGGGTGGTGTCTTGAGCAGAGGAGGCACGCACGCAGGGTCACGGTCACCAATTAAAGGCTTCACACGTGAGTGTAGACCAGGAATTTAGGGGGGGGCCACCTGTTTCATTCGCATAAAACATAGAAAAGTGGTTTGACCCTACTGCATTGTTGCTTTCTGTGTCAGTCACGAGCCACACACGTGGCAACTCTCTCAAACTCCGTTTATAACTCCAACGCCATTAATCCACTATTCAACCCTACTTTTGCATTCATCCAACGCCTCATCTTCAGTTAAATATTGTATTTGTAGCTCTAAAATAGAAATAAAAAAAAAAGAAGAAAAAAAGATTAGGCAGCGGCAAAAGCGGAGTCGTTCCGGCATTGGGTCCCTGTGTCGTAGCAGAGACCCGCAAAACCTGTGGCTCCTAACCAAATCAAATCTTTTTTCCTTTTTATTTCCTCCCTTCGAATCTTAATATGTCTAATAACCTCCAATTATTAATTCCACGTTTATTTCCATTTAGATTCCACAAATCACTCTAATTCTATATTGTTTCTGTTACGTTTTTTGCTTCACTAATCTATTTCTCATCCATATCCTTATCCCTTCCCCTTCTCATCCATCCCATGCATTTCACTCCTAACCAGCACACATGAATTAAATCATGCCTAATCATTGTCGTCACAATATTATTATGTCAATTTTCAACAAGGTGAAGAAAATATACACATGTAAATTATTGTTTTTGGTTGAAGTATTTACAAGAGTTCTGTATACCTCTTTATATCAATTAGTTTACCACAAGTTTCGGATAGGTGAATTTAAATTTGTCCAACTCATTTGAACTCTTTCTTGTTTTTAATTAATATTTTAAAATCTACATATATATTTCTCTTAAAAAGTGCAAATTTGACTTTATGATTCAACACAAACCAATTAAATATAAATGGTCAATTCAATTCGAGTGTAGCCCAGAATTTTGCACTAAACCCACTCATACTCTCGTACTACTTTGATTGGCATGAATTGAACTTTTTTTTCAAACCCCACCTTTTTTACTTACATTTTTTTCAAGCTCAACCTAATTAGACTAATGAATATTCGTTATTAAATTAAGATAGAATTGATTAGTGTTATGACTAATAACATGACTTTTTTTACTGAAAAACTGACGTTGAAGTTTGAATTGCCAAAGTATTTAAATGAGATACTTTAGAAGCGATAATTAAGCCTTTTTCTTCTAGTGGAAATAGCACTAAAAATAATATATTTTCTATAATATCAAACATTGCAAAGTAATAAAACTGAATCAAATTTGTTATATAATATAAATATTCTTAAAATAGCAACCAGTATTGAACAGAACAAACGTTACACTCCTTCCATTTTAAATTAATAGTTATTGTATTTCAATTTATAAAACAATAGTTCTTGTAACTTAATTTTCAGCATAATTCATGCATATAGCTGAGAATAATCAATTTAGCTCTTATATTCAAAAAACATAATTGTAATAAATTAAAATATATTTAAATATATATTAATTATTCCTTCATATGTACTAATTCTGAACTAACACACAAGAAAAAAAAATGTTATATACGACATAACTAAATATAAGAAAATGTAACTAGTTTTCCCTTATTTATTCATACAATTCTTAAATCACTCTTCATTTAATGGTGTCATATTTTCTATAACGCAAGTTTATTTACGAAATTAAGTTACAATAAGAGATATTCTAGAAAATATATTGCATGCATCTTACAGTGATTATAATTTAAAGATTTGTGTATATAAATTAAGAACAATTTTACTATAAAAATGAGACAAGTTGATCGTAATTAATAATAATTTATTAAGTAAAAGAAAAAAGTTGAGATGAGAAATGATAATTAGGAATTGAAATTAGTGAGGAGTGACGTATGGTGATGATGATAGGAAAGTGTGAGAAAAATGAGAAATGGGAAATGGGAAAGGTAAGTATATTAGAGTAGAGGGTAAGTAGGGTAGGATAGGGATGAAACATAAACAACAAACAAACATCACCATGAGGAATAAGGAGTGTGGCTATGGGTAGAGTCTAGAGTATAGGCATAGAGAGAAAGAGAAAGAGAAGTTGGTAATGATGAAAAAAGATGGTGACGAGAGTGGAGGGTGTTATCTGTCCTCCTCAACACCCGGCAAACCCATTTCAATTGCCGCATTCCTGTCTCCCCTAACCTTTTTCCCACTCTTTCAACCCTAATTATCCCCTTCCATCGCATTTTTATATACAACACAAACACTTTTTCTTACAATATTATCTCCACTATTAAATGAAATGAAAGTTTAACAACACCAAACCGAATCATGCCTTCATTTGGACATTGGTCCATGGTCTAGTACCCAACATTGAATCTCCCACTAAACTTCAAAACCATATGTCTTTAAAATATTAATACATGATGCCCCATGCTTTTCCACAGACGGAACATTCAAAACCACTCCAAAATCAATCAAGTACGCCATTTTAATAAAAAAACCGCTCAGGAATGAACATGTATTAAATGTTTATAATTTATCATTTTCTGTATATTTTTTCTTGTCCTATGTGGGTGAAACTTTCATACAGAGTTTAGATTCCGACTGCATAAAAACATGGGTATATTACTATGATTTATTAGGTCATTAGAGGAAGCCCGACATAAAATTGAATGTGAGACAGAAGATTATGGTATGGTTGACTTGTGGCAGAAGCAGAGATCTGAAATTGTGTGTGAATCAGAGGATTATGCTATGATTCCCCCTGCAATCATTATTTATGTCCGTAATTGTTCAGCTATGCTACCTATGCCCAGGGTTGTTCCTTGGATACCTTTCCCATGGTAAAGTCAGTCCCACATATAATAATAATCATCATGCTTACTAGTTAATAAATTTTATAAACAATGATCGAAGAGGGTGTAGGTAGAGAGGTATGTAAAAGGAAATGTGATATTCAAGAAATGTACTGGGAGTATTTCTGCACCCTACCCTTACCATAAAAATGAAACAGTGCATTCATTAGGAAGGATAATGAAACAGTGCATAGTGTATAACACTTTTCCCAGCGTTCATGCGCATACCAGATGGTATCTTTGATCCTGATATTTTTCACCAGAAAAAAAAAAAAAAAAAACACGCCTAAGAAAAATACAGTGACAGTGAAAATGAGCTTTACCTTTTGAATTTGCCCATGCAACACCCAATGGATCAATTTCATCGCTTTCTTTGTTTTTTTCTTTTTTTTCTACCTAATCTCATTTGCATAAATAATTCATTATCATTAATGTCATAGCGTATGTTTTCTCTTTTATCGAGCAATATAATTTAGATTTTTTTTTTTTGGATTGTGTGAATAATTTACGTTAATATCTACCGTATCATTTAAAACTAATTCATGTGTAATAATAAAACTTAGCACAGAAAAAAAAAAGTTCATGCGTAATTGTTAAACTTTTTATGTTTAAAGTAGCTTTCAAGCTGAAGACTAACTAGGCTAAACATAGCCTAATCTTTATTAATTAGGTTGGAAAAGATGAAAGTAGAAGGATAAGTAAAAGAGACACATAAAGAAAGTCACTCTTTTTTTCAGATATAAAGAAAATCACTCTTTTTAAATCTCCTCTAATTCATGATACACAATTCAAGTTAAGAAATACATAGAAAATTCTTAATAAACAGATCCATTGACACAAGACTTAAATTTGGGCCAATTCAATGATAACCTTGTTGACTACCATTTATTTGGTATTAAAAATTCAATCATAACTATCTCCACCTAGGTTAAGAGCAAAAAGTGTAGTGTCAAGTGTCAACAATTTATGGTTACGTTTTCCTTCACAAAGCACACAAGGGTAAATACGACATTTCGAAATTCCAAGTAGGGGGCAGACCCACAATCTGTAGCACCTGTTAACAGCGACAAGATATTTAATTTCGAGTCTGCATAGAGCAAGGGAATGGACGGTTTTGATTTCTCCGTCAGAATGCATCGCAACCGTCCAACGCAAATTCCCGAGTGCAAATCATTGTTGTGAAACTAACAAAACGACACTACTTCCGCGATTTATTCTCCGTTTTGCCCCTCAGTACTATTTCTGCGTTTAATCGCTTTTGTTTGGTTTTTCCGTCTTAAGGCTTCATTCATTGAGCTTCTCTGCACATCTCTCCCCAAAAGCTTTTATTTCTTTCTGCTTATGGAAGGCCCTTAAACTTTCTCTCTCTGCTTCACTTTCTCGCTTTAGCATTTTCTTGCGAAAATTTTCCTCAAAACCAATATCAGTTCTCTTCTGTCTCTGATCTACCAAAACTCGCTTCCTTAGGTGCGTACTACTTCTAATTCTTCTCCTACTCTTTACTGTTCCTCTTTTTTTCAAATATCTCTTCAACGATTCTCTTTCTCGGCACTTTCAGGTAGAATGTACTCTTTTTTATTTCTTTTTATTTTTTTGAAAGAAACTGGTATGGAATTTGCGTGAGCTTGGATCTATTTAGCTTCTGCAACTTTGTGTTAACTTATTATTTATTTATTATTTGCTGAAGAAGCTGAAGTTGAGAAGAAAAGTGAACTAGAAATAGGAAGAGAGTACCGCGTGCTATTTTGATTAGTCTTAAATTAATTACTTACTCGCTAGGTTGTTTCTGTGTCTTAATGTTGTGATTCTGTTATGATTATTTATTTTGTGTGCTTAACTCTGCAATAGTAGACGCATGCATGTTAATTATTTACTTTTTATTTTTTAATTCCTCACTGCAGCATTATTCTGTGATTAGTTTTTTGGTTAAGTTGCTGGCTAATGATAGTATTGTTCGACTTTTTTTCGTGATACTGATTCTTATAAATGGTGTTTTGTTATTAGCATAGGGCTTTTTGTGTTGCTGGTAATTTGAAGTGAACGGTGGATTTGATTTTTTTTAATGTTTCTGTTTGTGGCAGTTTGGTTTGATTGTGTTTGAAGTGTGATGTCGCCGCCGGCGGTGGTAACGGAGGAGGACGGTCTGAGCAAGGTGTCTTCGACCGTAGCGTCTGGTTCTTCGCAGTCCTTGGATTGTTTCTCTCAGAATGGGGCTGGATTGAAAGAAAGGAATTACTTAGGGTTGTCTGATTGCTCATCAGTGGATAGCTGTGCTTCGACTGTGCCAGTCTTGTGTGTTGAGAAAAAGGAGAACATGAATTTGAAGGCTACGGAGTTGAGGCTAGGTCTTCCCGGGTCACAGTCACCTGAAAGGGATCCGGATCTGTTCTCTTTAAGCTTAGCAAAGCTTGATGAGAAGCCTCTGTTCCCTTTGGTTCCTACTAAAGATGGGATTTGCTTGTCGTCCCAGAAAACCGTTGTTTCCGGCAACAAGAGAGGTTTTGCTGATACCATGGATGGTTTTTCTCAGGTTAGAAGAGATGCTTGAAGCTCTTAATATTTTGAGAAATGTTTTCTTTTTTGCTGTGACTGACATCAACTGTCGTAATCTTTCGTGCAGGGAAAGTTTACTGGTAATACAGGAATGAACGCAATGCTATCACCTAGGCCTTCTGGAGCTCAGCCTTCTGCAATGAAAGAAATGCCAAGCAAGTTGCAAGAACGCCCTTGTTCGGACAATAATGGAACTGGTCATAACCATACAGGTGCTTCGATAAGTGGCAGTGCACCGGCTTCTAAGTAAGTGGAATCTGTCAGCTCAAGGAACCATAATTTTCATGAAAATCTTGAATTTGGACGAACGACCACCAGGGTTTTCCTTGTGTTCATAGGTATGCTAATTAAATAACATTCGTTGTGTGACAGGGCACAGGTTGTTGGTTGGCCTCCTATAAGATCATTTAGGAAAAACTCCATGGCCACCACCTCCAACAAGAACAATGATGAAGTAGATGGAAAACCAGGTGTTGGCGCACTCTTTGTGAAGGTCAGCATGGATGGTGCTCCCTATCTTAGGAAGGTAGATCTAAGAAGTTATACAACATATCAAGAACTATCTTCTGCACTTGAGAAGATGTTCAGCTGTTTTACCTTAGGTAAGTTTCTGCACCTCTATTTACTTGGCAGTAAATTGGTTTTTGCTAATGTTTTGTTTTAAAAATATTTTATGGTTATTTTAATTTTAATCGGGAATGTGTTTTTTGCACTTGTTTACAATCAGGTCAGTGTGGTTCTCATGGAGCTCCAGGAAGAGAAATGTTGAGTGAGAGTAAGCTGAGGGATCTTCTGCATGGTTCAGAGTATGTTCTCACTTATGAAGATAAAGATGGAGACTGGATGCTTGTAGGGGATGTACCGTGGGAGTAAGTGCATTTTGTCATTTTTCTCTTCTCATTATATTTTCTAGTTATAGTAATTATAGTTGTTTCTTTTATTTTGTTGTAAGGTGATATATGCAGCATCGATTCTGGTATTATTTTTTTCCAGTATTTTGAAAACACCCAGAAGTCAAGTTTTATTAATAATTCCTGAATCTTGCTTACTTTAAGACCACCTAGAAGGATAACCAACTTAGTTTAAGTGCAATATTTAATTACCACAACCATCCAATAATTTTTTTTTCTCCTGACAAATTCTTCTAATTTTAAGAGATTAGCATTAGAGAATATTAATGATACAGAATAGTTGTAATTTGTATGAAATAGCAGTCAGTTCCTTCGTGTGCAATTGAGGGACATGGCAACAGAGAGTTTATGTAAACAACTAGTTTGTGCATAGAATATTTTAAACGCGAAATATGCTGTTTTGACAAATATGGGCTGAAATATAGACGATGCATAGCTTGAGTACGGCAACACCAATCAACTGGAAATAGTTCTTTTCTGAAGAAATTAGGTCTACTGACACCCCCATTTTGCCCTTCTTATCAAGTTATTTAACTTATTACTTCTACCACTTCTCTCTCTAGGTATGGATTGCCATGGACTCGATGAGATGTCCTTAAACCATTTTTCTTTGCAGAAACGAATATGTAGTCTGATATTGAGTCATTTAGCATACACCATATTGATCTATTTGTAGTCAAAATTCAACTAGTTGAACAGATATAAATATAGTTAATGTAATAGAACGTACTGCTAGTCTGATACTAAAGTGTTTGCTATAGGTATGAGGTTGGAAATAGAAGTTTAGCACATGTATATATAAGTAGGATATAGCGGGGCATACCAAAGAGATGACTTACTTCTCAACAGAATGCCTGAGTGGCAGTGGCTAATGTGTGAGAAGGGGGGGATTGGGTTGTGATGAGAGGGGAGAGTAGAGGTTTTTAATGGTTAATTCAGGATTTGGGGCCTTGGGGAAGGGATGAAGCATGTGCATACTCCTTGCAGTCTGTAGGTTTTTTTTTTCCTTCTTTCCAGTTCCGTTTATATTTTATATATGCAATACAGTTGTTTAATAGCATCAGACTAAAGAATTTGAGCATGGGTAGGGTTTTTTCTGCTGAATAGGAATTTACTACTAAGTCAGTTATATAACATAACCTGTTGGTGTGTGATAATGTTCTTGTCTTTGTAGACATCAAGTCTTGATCCGAATAAGTCCCTGTTTGTAGCAAGAAAATAAACTGAATGACTAATGGAATGAGATATTCGCTTTTCCGTACTGGTTTGCGTCCCTTTCCCACTCAACTGCATTTCTGCTTTTGTTGCAGAATGTTCACTGACACTTGCAAAAGGCTGAAAATTATGAAGGGTTCTGATGCCATTGGCTTAGGTATGTATTCTCACCTACTTAATTTGAGACAGACATCAAGCCTATGAACTATACCTGCTGCAGATAATGATCCTAACATGTTCGTATGAGATCACTTAAATCTAGACAAACATCAATATGTGCTATTTGCTGGAATATTTGAAACCTTTATACATGCAGAATTTCGTCTGATTATGTTACTGTAAAATTGTTTTATTTTAGATTTGTTTTTTTCCTGGGACTTTTTGTTCGATTAATCTACAAAATCTAGGCCCTTTTATGTAAGAGACTCTACCATAACCTTGATGTTCAGTACCACGGCATGATCTATATTGTCAGCTAATAATGTCAATTTAAATATTAACCATGCTAATGATACTGTTTACCTTATAACTCCAAATAAATAAGCCTCAGTTTGTTGCTTAAGTAGAGTTTTTTTTGCCTCAGCTCCCAGGGCCATGGAAAAGTCCAAAAGCAGGAGTTAGGCTATCCGGGACTGCCTTTTGTCCAATCCAAGCTTTGTATTGCTGGTGGATTCCGGAGTGTGATAAGCAAAGGAAGATGACTGAATTTCCTGGCATTGATAGTTTAACGCCCTTCAGCTGTTGTTTTTATGTTTTCAAGTCCGTAAGAGTTTGTCTTGGTCTTGTGTTAATTTGTTACCACTATAATATCATATGAAGCTACATTGGAAGATTAGTATTTGTGGAGTCTGTAATCTATATAGGAATCTGTTTGTTTGGATGAATCAATTATATGTTCAGTCAACATACGGTTCTAACACTATATTTGTGATTTGCGCCACTTGCCTATTATTTTTCTTGAATAGCATTCTTTCATTTCATATTCACTCTCACCGACCTGAAAATGGATATGGGTAGTGTTCTTAAAGTCTGGTCCGATATCAGTTGTGACAACTCGTCGGCTTTTGTATGATTATTGTTATTCATTATATGTTTTTTACTCATGGACAAAATATTCAATACATTGATATCGGTGCAATCATTTATGTTTAGGGATTGTCAAGAATGGCGAATCATGAACTTGACACACAGGGATTTCGACATCCTTTTGAGAAAATAAAATATGGGAAATTGAGAAAAAAAATACAAGTGTCTATCTATGGTTTTTTTTTTTTCATTGATAATTGTGTTGCAAAATTTTGATTTTCTTTCCAAAATGGATGTTATATTAATATTGCATATTCACCACAGATTTTAAGATTGCAAGTAAAACGAGAATTTGAGATTTACCTACGGGGTTAAATTTGCATGTTTCATGATCACTGAAGTCATCTATATTGTGTACTGCTTCTGTCATTTGATTGGAACAAGCTAGTTTACTTTATCTCGGTCTATGGCCACCAAGAACATAATCATGCTGCTCAAATGTGTACTTTATCCTATTCCCAAAAATATTATATATATTACGTTACTCGCATTACTAGCTTCTTCTAATTTCTCTTTTCTTATTGTTCATTCATCCTTCTCGTTATCTACATATTACACTGAGGATGATCTGTGACCTTACTAGCCATTATTAACACGGTTCTTGTATGAACATAACGTATTCAAGTAATGAAGGCACTAAGAATCAAGCAGCGAGGAAAGATTCTCTCAGCTTACATAATTCAATTAAAACAAATGATTTAAGTGCATGTTGAGAATTCCAGTCTAAACTTTTGGGCTAGAATACAATAAAACGTTACCTTAAAGACCTTTGCATAACAGGTCTAGAATTGAATTCATCTGGGCTGCTATTGATAATTAAGTCAGAAGAAAAATTATTTTTGATCTTTGATGTCTTCAAATTGCCATATACGTAGTCACTGCAAATTTTCTTCTTAAAACCATAATCTTATCAATGTTTTGGTGTTAATCAATTGCTTAATTGGTTGAATGGTGTGGTCCATATTGAGGGCTCATTCCTTGAATGGTATAATGGCATAAAATTTTATTGTTTCTCATTATCTTTAGTCGCTAGTTGTTTGTACGTGTCTGTTGGAAGAATCATAGGAATTTTTATTAAAAACTTATTTAGCGAGCATTTGGAAAGGGGTGCAAAAGTAGAAAAGCATTCCTCCAATTGTAAAATCCAAACGTGGAATTAGTAGCAGGTAGCATAATTTTCATTCTTTTTTACGAAAACGACAATCCTGAAATATTATTTTTTTACAATAATCTCAATGAATATGTTATAGTCTAAATTCTATCTTTACCTGATTTTTTTATTTTTTTGAGAAATATGGTCAAATTTGATAAGCCACACAAAATGAGGAAAAAAAACTATACAAATATACGTCACCGTGCATGTTGACTTTCTGAAAAATTAAATGAATATGCTTATGTATAATTGCGCATCTTTTTAACAGTGCAATGAGATTTAAGGGTACGATACTGCTAACCAATCTTATTAACCTACACATCTTTCATTCTTTTGTTTTAAAGATGATTCTAGCAGTAGAAGCAATAATCTTAGAGTTGGCGTGCACTGCCACCTTTTGGCAGGTTTTTGCATCTTATTGCAAGATATACGTAAATACAAGTGGAACTTCATTTTGTCGGTTTCTTTTGACTTTCAATTAGTCGTGTTGAACTTTATGGTTGTCGATACTGATCAGATTTCATGATTTATTAGTTTAAATCATTGTTGGTAATGCGTGATGGATTTGAAATATTCCCAGGTTAGTGCAAGAATAATTATTGACCAAAAGTATTAAATAATTAATAGAAGTACACTTATGATGGTTTGTCATTTCTTCTAGATTCTATGGATTATAATGTTCATTTAAACTTAATCATGCTCTGCTAAATGTCATATGCTAATATGATGGCGTTTCCTTTGAAGGAAACACAGCATTTGTATGAGAAAGCTTTTGACCTTAGTGGGCATTGCTGTAATAGGTAGCTAGAATCGTGAAGGAAATGGTAGATAGATATTGTGGATACAGGAAATTGATTTTCTGCTAATGCATAAATTGATTATTTTAACCAAATGTTTCTTTGGGGACTATTTTCCAGTAATTTTATCACATCCATATATATTTTAGTGCATAAAGGTATAAAATTTAAGAGGTTGAACAAGTAGTCTTCCTCAATCAAATGCTTTCACAAGATCCAGTAACTGATAAAAAATCTGTCATAAAACATAAGTTGTTATCATCTCTCCTATACTCATTGTGATATACTAACGTTGAACCGTCCAACTTTCTGGCTTAAATGTTTTTTCCATAATTGGTTCATTTCTACATGTGAGTAGCTTCAAAACTTCTTTGTCACGTTGAAGTTACTGGGTTGGTTAAACCTCGATGCCCCATTTTCACTCATCTTGATTTTTGTTGTTTTGGGAGACTCTGGACCAGTGTCTAAGAGAGATATATAATAATCCAAACCCATATAATCTTAAAAGAAAAGTAAGAGATGTAATCCAGAATCTTAAAAGGAAATAAGTAGTGTTGGAAGGATTAATTGTAATCATTACCTAATAGTGGAGAAAAGCTGTAGTGGCGAGGATGGGTATCAATTATTGATTTATTGAAGTTGGATGTCACTTGTTTGGAATATTCTTACCCTTATGTGATATAAAGTTACACTTGTAAGTTTCTTGGTATGATTGTTTAACCCTGTTTTAATATAGCCCCAGCATGTTACCTGTTCAAATCTATCACTGTGTTTGGATTAGTTTCAAGATAAGATGTAGTTAATTATTCTTTATGATGAAGACAAAGCAATAACTTTTTATAGAGTAGAATTATTTTTTGTGTGTTATCTAAAAGCACTATTAATACATACATATATATAATTAGAAAAAGCTAGCATGTCACTTGTTCATTAGGTGAAAACAAATATTAAAAGAAAAGTAATCATGTAAATGCACATGATCATGTTCAAGATTGTAAGATCAGATATCCTTCCTTGCCGGTGACAACGGCAAGTAACCACCAGTTTGATTAACCTAGCTGTGATGAATAAGCAAGAACTGCAGAGCCAAACTTCAATTTCTGGATAGTGACAAATTCTCAAGGTTTGATAGGTTATGTTCTCATTCGTCACAGTGCCACAGTTATTAAGGTTGCAAAGCTGAAAAAAGTAGACAATGAAAAATTATTTGAATATTAGGAATTTGAATACGCTGAGCAAAAAAGAAAAAGGAAAAAGAAGTTTGAAGGTGCTTGGGAGCCATAGAAAGTGAGCCATTCAGTGGTAATCAATGTTCATATTCCTATTCTGATTTGATTAATGGCGTGGACTTAATGACACAAGATAATACTTGCTTCCGCTTATTCAAAAGCACCATGATTTAATAACAGCACTATAAATCCTGTTTTGAAAGAGATAGACACTGTGTAAATGTGGAAACAAAGTAATTTTAACAACAAAACCATCATATAAATTATGCAAGGAATAATATAATGCTAGTTGACGCTGATAAAAGCTTAAATTTCAAGTATCATAGAATGCAAATCCACAACCTCCCCACCATCCAAACCCCCCCTAAAAAGGCAGAAAAAAAAATCACTGAACAAGTTAATTTCATGTGGAGAAGTGCTGGGATGGTCTTGTTGGAGTAAAAAAAAAAAAAAAATTAGTAAAAGTAAATAATAATTGAAATATGAATACAGAAAAGGAAAAAAAAAAGTGGTTGTGTAAATGGACAAGTGAGACACAACTGAAGATGAAAGGAATACACAGAGATTATATGCACAGATAGTACTTTACATAGTGAAAAAAGTAGCATTATTCATCAAATATATCTGTTTTGATAAAATAAACTTATATGATAAGTTCTGCATAATTCCTGTGACATTAGAACCACAGAAGGAGAAAAGTTGATCAAACAGCTTATCTAGTGAACCGTGACTTTTACCTTCTCATGTTCAGGAACAATGGCCCATGGGTTTGAAATGGTTGTTGTATCTTCCTTTGAAGTCACTTCTAATTATTTATCTACTGGCGACAAATTATACATGTGCTTAGCTACAATTGTTATATGTTATCAGATCTATAGTCCTCAGTAGGCAATAGCATGCCCATATTTTTGTCCATGTATCAAATGACAACACGATAATGTTGCTGAACTCGAACAACTGTGCAAAAGGACAACAGGGAAACTTGTTAGGTTGCTTCATCAATCTCTTTCAATCAAGTTCTGAAATCCTAGCCTCATTTCAATGTCAATTGAAGAAGAGAAAAATCAAAGCTGATGAAAAGAGGAGCTGAAAATTTGTGATGTTCCTTATTTACCATTCCCACGCCACAGAAACTGTTGTACTTTTCCTTATTCAGAATCATAGATATGTCAAAATGTTATACATAGAGATATCTATACATATAACAAAACGTATATATGATATTTCATTGGTGTATGTACCCTATGCAGCCACATTGGCATTACAACTATACATACACCAACCGTAAATTAAGCCTCTTCTCTGCTACCTTTAGTTCTTCAATAATGACTCCACGTGTTTCTTCAGCCAACCACTGTAGGAGGCATGTGTCACTTGTGAGACATTGTGATCATTATCACAAATTAAAGTGGCATACAAACATTCTACACATGCATAGTTTGGATGTGGCATAACTGGTTGGGTTTGAATCAACCGTGGTGTAGTTTGAACTTTGATGAGAAATCAGTTCCATGTTTACATCATTATGGTATATAGGACAGGACTTGTACATATTCATTAAAAAGGATAGGCACAGAAATACTGTCACACATATAAATGCTTGAGAGCAACTTGACACCACCTTATCTGGACTTTCTCATCATAAATGATTCAATTCTTCATTGAATATCCCATAACATAGTGAATGGTGAAAAGGGTAAAAGTAGGCACCAAAATAATGTGTTTTAATTATTGAGAAAGAAGTATTGTATACTTTTGTATGATTCATGGTGATGTACATGATCACAGTTAGAATGTTACATTATATGCAGTGTGAGATTAATTATAATTGGTTGGTGGGGATCCTAACATTAATAGGTCATGGCATGTGCCCCAATTATGGTGGTCACACAATCACACCATTCGCCGTCCTAAAGAGAAGCCTCTCATTCTGCACAAAATATTAAATGATTAATGGTGGTCGTTAGATTTGTGGAATAAATTCTGCTGTTGCTATATCCATCTTCTGCATGTGAATATAAATTAGTATATACCATACATATACTAATAATCAAATTAACAGCACTAACTGCTAATCATGTGCGTTCTGATGGAAACAAAACAAAGGGTGAAGGGAAGAAGACGATGCATGAAATATGATATTATGATTAATTAGTTAATGTGTGCTTGGTGCATAGACATGTCAGGTCAAGCAATTTGTTCAGTCCTATCATTGGAGACTCTGTCGTTTATGAAGGGATCTCAGAGGGGAACCATGTCGTGGATGATTGGATTCATTTTTCATTCAATCTTCTTACACTCCTAATGCTGCCAAAATGTTTTCAACAACAACTTGTAACAAAACCATATTGTAAATTACTCCAATTTAATATGCCACATATGGAGTAAATAAAAGCAAGTAGATTTTCGTGTTCCCAATTGTCTCTTAAAATTAAACAATAAAATGTCCTTAAGGGGTGGCAACATGCTTGATCCTCTCTCACTGCTACTTTCTGGGATGGCAGAGAAGTTTATTCAAATCTTGCAAGTTTCAATTCAATGCCCTTTAACTTCAAATATAAAATAAAATCTTGGTCTTCTAAAACAGAAAGTAAATAAAAAATCGATGCCCTTGTGTTGTGGTGGGTCAGTCCTATCCTTATGGGGCTGTCCAAATTTCTCGGGGAAAGAGGATTCTTTAATTCTTTTAAGATTTTAAACAATTTGTATACTCGTGATATGTCTAATTTGTGTGATAAAGAAAATATAAACGTTGGAAAATGTTGTACAAACATTTGTGTTCTCGCCTTCACATTACCATTATGAAGATGGACCATCAAAATAGTTAGTATAACATGTGCTATTATTTGCTGCATAGAAATTTGGAAAAAAAAAATTATCAACTAAAAATACTAACCGATGGTTCCAAAATAATTTGAAATAATAATACTACCAAGTCATAAAAGGAGGTGGAGGTAGGTTTAGTGGTGGTCACGTTAGAAAACAAATGATTTAATGGTGCATGGAAAAAGTTTGAATACCTAAACGTTTAAAAAATATGATGAAATTGTGTAATGTACAGTGAGTGAATGATGTGAATGCATCCAACAACATTATAGTACAAAATGCCATTTTGATTGTTAACAAAGTTGGCTCAAAGCTTTTTCTTTTAAAATTAGGTCACAGTTTGCTCAAGGGACGCATACATAGCATGCCAAATTCTTCATTTTTATTCTTTTAATATATCTCTCTGTATTTTTAAAAATAATTTTACTTCTATTTATTTGGAAGTTTAAGCGAATATTAAACACTACATCACATGAAAATAATTTTTCTTAATTCAAAATAACACAAAACCTAATCTCGACCAATTCTCGTGAATAAAGGAACAACAAGAGCAATCTATAACGTGGACAACTATAAATGTTGTGAAAATTGAGATAGAACATGTGAAAATGTTGAAGATAAGAGAGAAAGAAAAAAAACATGCTTGTTTGAATGTTCATTTTATGATTATCACAAAACATAACTAACCATGTTTGAATGTTCATCAAAATAATCTCATGGTGATCATTAATTTAAAAGACCCCATTTTAATAATTCATTTCTACAAAATATCCAAATTAGTCAACCGGTGAAAATCTCAGGTGCCAAGACTTTATTTAATTAAAATGACATTTTTCTTCATTTGATCAATGAGGCAAAGAAAACTATCAAAGTGACGTTCAAAACCAAAACACTAACATCTATAATGGTAATATGCATTTATTTATTTTGAAATAATATGTTCAAAAAAAAATTAAAATATGCATTTTGTTATAGCGTTTTGAATTTAATATTTCAAAAATAAAACAGGTTTTATTTGAAATAAGGAGAAATCAATTCTAAAGAAGGTGTCCTTTATTCTAAAGGAAGAGTTTTTTAGCTTTTATGATTTTTTTAATTTATTTTCAATAATATAATTCATGTAGTTAAGAAAAATGAATACTATACCGTCAATATTGAAAAAGCGACATAAAAACAATTGAAAAACTAAAGGCATTTTGTCTAACTTTGTAAATAACTAAATATTTTTTAATTAATGTGTGAAAATCTTATAAACAAAATTAATAACTGGGCTTAAGGTTGATGTGAGTGGTGTACGGACATAATATTGACAGGTGAGTGAGTTGGCTAAAATCGAGAGTTGACTAACTGACACCGTCCTTTATGTGTGCATTTCTCAATGGTACGTATATCACCCTCCATAACGGCGTCAATTTTCTGCTGCCACTGCTTTATACACTTTCTGCGATACCTGTGAAAGTAAACCATTCCCTCTCCATTGTCAAAGCTTTTGTTTTTTTTTTTTTCTTTTATATATCACAAATTTCTTCCAATAAACCTATTTAATATTATCTATTTCACAATTATTATATATAGTTATTCATAATTATTTGTGTTAAATTCTTAGTTAATTAAATATTTGATAAGTTTATTTCAAACAAGTGATGATATGAGTGCTTTTATCTTAGAAAATATTTTGTGTACAATGAGAATATTAAAGATTCAATATAAGATCTGGTATAAATTAATAAGACTATCTAAAACCTACCCCAAATCTCTTAACAATGACTTCATATTTGTGGGTTCTGTTTTAGATAAATGCATATCTTTATTTATGAAGAATTTCTATTTATTTATACAAATTCTACATGTGAAATATATATGAGTAAAAGTAATATTTTGTTATATAAGTAAAATATATGAGTCATTGAATTTTGAAATACTGTTTAATACATTTGTTACAATTATATTCTGAAAACACTTAAATGAATTAAAATAATATTTATTTAAATTAATAAACAATATTAACAACTATATGAATTTATATTAAGAACGACAAGAGAATGTATTTTTATGTGTTTTATTAAACAAAAATCATTTATCTAATATTTTTAATCTACTTACTTTCATGCAACATTTATTCCTATATATATAGAAATGCAAAAAAAATTAACCACTTTAATACATATGATATCGATTATTGAATTTAAACAATGTTTTAAGAGCTGTGTTATTAGGTAGTGCTTTTAAATAAAATTACCTGTGTATCCGAGGAACTTAAACTATAATTTAAAGTTTCATAAATAAGTTATTATAGTTGATAACTGTATAAAAATAAAACCTAATAATTTAATTAGTTTCTTTAAAATATTATTTTGGTTTGGTTCGGCAAAATAATTCATATGATTATATTTGTTTCTCCATTTTAGAAAAGCAAATAATAGAATCAAGTTTTATGATGAACTAGGAATAAATTCAGGGCACAGACTAAATGAACCAACTTCTACAGCTTCCGAGGTATTGGGCATACCACCAATACTTCCACAAGTTTTGAAGTACATTTGTTTAGAATGAACTCTTGCTAAAATCTATATTCCAAGTTATTAATTTGAATTGTTTGGCATAAAAATGGATAGTAAAAATAATTTTAAAAATAGTAAAATCTATAAATTATTTTCACTTACCATCATTGTATCTTTCTCTTTATATTACTGTTTATTATTTATGTAAAATCCTATTATGATGATCTACGATACATGGAATGAATAATAGTAACACTAAGAATATACCAATGTGAAGGAACTCATGCTTAAGGAGAAGATTGTTGAGTAATCTAAGTATGAGTTAAGTCGCACATTGAATAAAAATGAGAAAATTGAATAACATATAAAGAATAAATACTCATAAATCAATTGTCTTAAGGTTTTTGGTTGAATATATTGTTATATTCTTTTATGTGGTTGACTCGTATCCCATTTATGAGAATCTTCCTCTTATTAGCTTCCATCGAAAATACTTAAGAGGGTGCTACCCAAATTTTAGAACTAGAGTATTGGGCATAAAACTGAAATAAAACTATATATGTTATGATACGTTGTAATAAAAGTAAAAATGTATTTTTATATTATGTTGGTATTGAGTGATATTCATATTGTATGATTGTTTAAATTAGTTTCCTAAAATACAATAACAAAATATATTTACATATATCTTAACAAAAATGTTGAAAACTGAATAATCTCATTTCTCAATTCTATTTTTCTTAAGTAAAATCTAAATCGTTTTAGCGAGAATAATAGAAGTAATGGTATAAGATAATGATAATTTACTTAGATAATAGTCTTCTTGATTAAGTGCAAATTAAATTAACTTAACTTTCACTAAAGTGATAAGAGAAATAATTGTTACAGCCAAAGTTTTGCTTCATTAAAATTTTTTATTAATTTGACATGTTTTCTATCTAAATTTTAAAAAATCACGAAATACATAACTCTAACTTACATGGTTCATATATGTAAATTGAAGTCCTCAAAATAAAAATTAGTCAATAAGATATCTACAAAAGAAATTATAATAAAAAAGGATAGATAAAAGTTAAATAAAAAAAATATAGAATTAAAATATTTATTTAAAATAAATCTAATTTATTATAAATAATAATAAGGTAAGAAAATGAAACGTATTATAAATTATAAAATGATATGATATTGTTGTATATTTTTTTAATATATATATATATATATATATATTTTTTTTTCCAATTTACTTAAACCTATGACAAGATATATGGATATAGTTAATGTTAAGAATCTTATATGTAAACACAAAAGGCAGTGATGTTACCTCGAAAATGCTTTCATTAGTCAGAGAGAGGATAGAATTCAACTAATTTGTAAAAGTTTATTTGTTAATTGAATTGAAGGCATAAACCGTTAAATAAAAGAAAGAAAGTAAAGTAATGAACACTACTTGAGCAACTCCATTGGTTACTTTGATTTGTGACTAACAGCAAACCTTTGTCAGGAATCTTTTGTTTTATTAATTCCTACAACATTGCATGAAATACAGTTATGCATAATACAGTCCCACCATGGACACAAGACACTGATGAATCAATTACCAATAACTTTTATCTGTGGGAATGATACAAATAACAATGCAATAGCCAAGTCATTTAGCTATAACTAATCAGCTACACCTACACCGTTTAGATTAGACATCATGTTGCAGAACTGTAGAAGGCAAAGATGAGAGATGATGAGGAAAGAGAAAGGATTTAAATTATAAAAAATAAACTTTATGATGATAATGATTATCTTGATGAAGACTTTACAGGGAAATCTGAGTGTGAAGTTTACACAGTGAGGTGAAACCTGACTCTTTTTGTGAGAGAAGATACATAAGCAAGGTAAGTCTGCATTTCCTCAAGCACCTGAACCGCTCCACCTTTCACACTTCATCATTACCCTATTCGTGAAATCTCAACACTGCCTCACTTTTTTTACTGTTGTCCAAACTATTTTCACCACACACACCATTTTTATCACCTCTCTTTCCTTCGCATAAATATTCCAATTTTTTTTTATCATATACTTGATTTGTTTCAGCATTATTTAACTCTTGTAACAAAAAAAAAAAAAATACTTCACCATTTTATATTAAACTATTATTTCCGTCATTTTTAATAAATTAGTTGAATTTTTTTTTTCAAAATTACGTTAGCTTATATAACACTTGAAAATAATATGTATTTTATTTGTAACATGATTTAAGTTTTTACCGTATGAAAAATTTGTCGGATCACAATTACAATATTGGACGGCAAAACCCGTAACAAGAAAAAAGAAAAGAAAAAAGGAATAACAGTATTAACACTAGGATTTAAATATGAAAAATTAAAATAATCTATTAATAGTTGGTTTAATTGAAATTTTTGGTTCTCCAAAATTTGAATTATATGATTTTAGTCAAGTTTTAATTAATTGAATTTTCTAACAACAATAAATATTTTGTTATATGATATTCTAAATGGGTTAATTGAGTCTCTTGTCAGAAAAAAAAAGTATTATTTGAATTTCGTAAATATTGTAATAGTTTGATTTTAGTTTTTAATCATATTATGTGAATGTCCCATATGCATATTTAAAATTGAGAAATGGATTAAAACTACATAATTCCCACATTTAAAAGATTTAATCAACGTAGTTAAATATGACAACCTAATTGTTTTAGTTTTCTTTTAAAATATTTTAGATTCAGTTTGTACATTGAAGGTGGAATGGGAAAGAATTTTGTTCCATTTACTACGTTGATATCAGTGGTAAGAAGTAACGTCAATGGGATTTGAAATAAATGGTTGATGACCTTGGGTTCACTCACAATAAACTACCAATTGTTCTTTGAAAGACAGTTTGATCTTATCTATGATTCATAAACGAAGTGGTGAGAGTAGTTATGCGTCATTAAGACATTCCCCAAATTGTAAATGTCAACACTAACGTGCTTAAAACAACTTTGTGCCATAAGTAGTTGCTACTGGACTAGTCCAAAATTATCCTCATCCATCACATTCATCATCATGTAAACCAGATTAAGTGGACATAATTTTAAATAATTATAATAAAACTCAACAAATTTATTGTATATACTCACAATTTATAATTTTTCGAATATAATTAATATTGGTAAAATTTATAATTAAACAATTAATTTCTAATTTATCTCATTTATTCATTACAAAAAATATAAAAAAATAAATTAAATCAAATCCATCAATTTGATTTTATGAATAGATAATAATTTATTTATCATAATTCAAAATATAATGCATATTTTATCAATACGAAATAAGTTAAAATTAATCTAATTATTTTTTATTGTAAAAGATATTGTTTTATAGATGAATAGTTATCAACAAATTGATTGGATCAACTTTTTATTAAATAAATTATATTTTTAATTGAAAAAATAATTAAAAGTTATCCAATCAATCACAATCTAAACCAAAATTTATCATATTGATGCGGTTTGACACTCTTAAAAATATAAATATATGGAAGAAATCAAAAAGTTTTGTTTAATACGAAAAGCAAAAGGTGTTAATAACGTTGGTGGTGGGTCAACAATTACTAGAGTGTTTAGGTTGGACATTTTCTTGGGATCGATGAGGAAATTAAAAAAGAGAGAAAAAAAAAATGATAGAGCCAACCAATGGCCGTTATTCTACTCTATTGAATTGAATGACTAGAGCCTAAATTAATAATGCATGGTTATGGTAATTAATGAGTTGCAGAGGTGAATGACCAATTCACCCTTCTGTGGAGAAGGACTGGTCTATGTCCTGAACATCACAATTTCCCACACCATTAATATCAATCGCCAACGAAATGGAGCCCACTACAGACGAACCAGATTATAGGCATCAAAGTTGGCTCAGCTACTTCATGCCCAATCAAAGTACATACACACACCTCATTCTACCTCCTCACCTCACCAATCCATGCACATTTCAACCAACCGATAAATCTTTATTACTATTACTAATAATAAGTAAAAGAAATAAAAGGTTTTGAGAATGAATAAGATGAATATGAGGGTTTTGGTTTGTGGGAAAAGGGAAAAGTGACGAAGATTAAGCCGAAAGGGATGAATGAGAGTAACCATGAATGAAGGTCTGTGCGTGCAAAGGGAGAGATGGAGACGCTTCTGGACCTCAAACTGTTGCATGGGTCGGTGACTGTAACGTGGGAATGAGACAGTGATGCTCAATTCCAAGGGGAGGCCGTTGACTTGCTACTGTAGTTAGCAACCTCCACTTGCCAGTTACACATGTTAATCCCAAGACAACCCCATTTTCACTTTACCCGGATAATAATATTCCCAACTATACCAAAACCCTTCTGTCTTTCTAGGATTTTACGTGCTTTTCATATTTTGATTATATACTATTATATGCATATACACCCCTACCTTACACATAGATATATATAGAGAGAGAGAGAGGGGGGTGTTCAATTTGGAAGCAGCACATAAGGCTTTTCTATTAAGGTGGTCTTTTTGAGGCTCTGGAAACAGAAAAATAGAAAATTCACCTAGGTCAAGACATAGATAAATACATGGTGGGGAATGGAAATAGAAAGAAGGAAAAGAGGAACATGAAAAGCCTCTCTGAATCTAATCCATTTCTACTTCTTCTTCTTTCTTCTTTCCTTATCCTCCTTTCCCCTTTCTAATCAACTTTCATGCCCAAAAGCGTCTGTCTCTAAAACTACTATCCAATCCATCATCACCAAACTCCTAAAGTGATTCTGAGAAGAGTGTGAGGATGGTTACAGGGTGGAGAAGAGCCTTCTGCACATCCATCCCCAAAGACAGAGAACCCAAAGTCTTAACAGAGAGAAAACAACATTGTGCGAACAATAACAACGACACCAATCACAGTCCCAAAATCAATTCCAAGTTTGGATTTTTCTCTAACCCATCAACTCCCCACTGCGAATCTCAGCCTTCATCCACCCCCACCCTCCGCTGTCGAACCACATGTTCAGTCCCTACCAGCCCAAATCTTCAATGCAAAACTCCAAGGTTGTTCCATAACTCCAATCCCTCATCACCCAAGTCACCATCCAGCTTCTCACTTCTCAAAGCCACTCTACGCCTATCCAAAGTAAGCAACAAAATATAAAGCAAGTTTGGTTTCTTGTCTTTAGCTTTTTCCGTCTCAAACCTGATTCCTTAATTATTAACCAGTTTCATAAACCCAACTAATCATGTTATGTTATGCTTGCTAACCGCTACCTAATGGTTGAATTTTAATGATTTGTTTTTGCAGAGTCGATGTGGAATCTGTATGCAAAGTGTGAGGAGTGGGCAAGGAACTGCAATTTTCACAGCGGAATGCTCTCACACGTTCCACTTCCCTTGTATAGTGAAGAAGCACCCGATCCTAACGTGTCCCGTGTGCAACACTAGTTGGAAGGAACTTCCGGTGCTTTCCATCCACCATAACGACAATAGCAACAAGAAAACCTTCAAAGTTTACAACGATGACGAACCTCTCATGTCTCCTACTTCACTCTCTCGCTTCAACCCAATTCCCGAGTCCGATAACGAAGAGGAAGAAGATAACAGCAACACTGAATTTCAAGGCTTCAACGTTAATCCACTTCCCAATTTATCTTCCTCGCCAGTACTAAGAAGGAACCTCGAGCTATCGTTGCTGCCAGAGGCAGCCATTGTCGCAGCCAACCGAAACTACGAGACCTACGTCGTCGTTCTAAAGTTGAAGCCACCGCACGCTCCAAAACCGCCGCGTCGCGCTCCAATTGATCTCGTGGCCGTGCTCGACGTAGGCGGGGCCATGTCCGGCCACAAACTCCGCCTATTGAAAAACTCAATGCGACAAGTCATCTCGTCGCTCCGCCCAACCGATCGTCTATCCATCGTCGCATTCTCCGCCGGATCCAAGCGGCTGCTTCCGCTGCGTCGCATGACCGGAGGCGGCCAGAGATCAGCGCGTCGAATCATTGACGCGCTAGCCGCGATCGACCAGTCCAGAGAAGGAACTCCGGTGAAGAACGACGCCGTAAAAAAGGCCGCGAAGGTGCTCGAGGACCGCCGCGAGAAGAACGGGGTCGCGAGCATCATCGTTCTATCCGACATCCCCGACTCACGCGCCGGACACAATATTCACAAACCCTCACTGGTGTCCACCACGCGCCTCACGCACCTGGAAGTGCCGGTCCACGCTGTGCGCTTGGGAGAGTCTCCTCACGCGCTCTCCGACGACGCTCTCGCGAAATTCATTGGTGGTTTGTTTAACGTAGTGGCTCAGGACGTTAGGATTCAGTTAGAGGTGGTGTCCCGATCGCGAGCGGTGGAGATTGCAGGCGTGTACTCTTTAGCGGGTCGACCCGTTTCCCTCGGGTCAAATTGGATCCGACTCGGGGATCTTTACGCGGAGGAGGAGAGAGAATTGCTCGTGGAACTGAAAGTGCCTGCCGTTTCCGCTGGGTCCCACCACGTTCTGACCGTACGATCCTCCTATCGGGACCCCCTCACTCGAGAGTCTTTGAATCCCGTGGAGCAGGCAATGCTCGTTCCTCGTCCCCACACCGTACGATCCTCCTGCCCCAAGATCGAGCGCTTAAGAAACCTCCACGTCACTGCACGAGCCGTAGCCGAGTCGACTCGGCTCGCTGAACACAACGATCTCTCTGGGGCTCGTCACTTACTCTCCTCGGCTCGAGCCCTTCTAATTCAATCCATGAAGCCGGATGAGGAGTTTCTGCGCTGGCTCGAAGCCGAGGAAGCCGATCTTCAGCGGCGCAGACAGAGGCCAACGCGTGGGAACAGTCGCGCTGAAGAAAAAGTGGAGCCGCTGACGCCGACTTCGGCTTGGCGCGCCGCTGAGAGGCTGGCGAAAGTGGCTATTATGAGAAAGTCCATGAACAGAGTCAGTGACCTGCATGGATTTGAAAATGCCAGATTTTAATTGTAATTTTTATTTTTATTTTTTAAATATAATATTGTCCATAGATAAGAAAAAAATTATTAATAGAGAATTTTTTGTTTTTTTTTTTAAATGGGAAACGATCCTGACCCAGGCAATGATAATAGGGACAAGCGGTAGCAAACGGGTAGAGGCTTTCTGGGTGAGAAAGGAAGCGATAGTGATAGCCAAGTGAACCCACATGACTTGATTCACCACTGTGCCTGTTTCTTCTCTTCTGTCCTCTTACATCTTCCCCCCATATTCTTCGAAAACCCCAAATTTCTTCTCTGCAAATAATCACATCCATCCAAAGAGTATCTGGAGAATAATAATTTTTAAAATAGTTGCTTATTTGCTCCCACAGACCAGTTAATAATAGACGCAGTTGGTGGGTCTAATCAACAGAATGCGTTAAACTTAATAGTACACTTTGTTTGGTTCCATGAGCTGTTAGGTGTATTAATAGTAAAGCTAAAAGATGCACAAGGTTGTCACTGGTTACACATCCAGACAATGGATAATGCCATGCAAGTGCTTCGCCATTATTTCCCACGTATGCTGTCCAAATTCCATCCAAACCCAATGCATTAGCATTTCCCATTTTCTTCGCTAATCTGACACTATGAATCTTCACTCTTTATACGAGATAGTGTTAAATTTTGGTGAAAAGTGTTAAATGGTACAAAAATGTTTTGTTTTTTTACAGTGAAAATATGTGTATTGGTACTTTAGTTTCTTTTACATTATAATCTTAATTATCTTACTACAAGTTACCATCTGTTAATTTTTATTATAATTATCCTCATAGTTATATCAAAATTAATGTTTTATTTATGTCGACGTACGCTAACTATGATTACATCCTATAATTTAAGAACATGATCAATTTGACATTCAAAAAAAAAAGAAGAAAAAGATCATGATTGTTTTTGACGAAACAAATAATCTAAGATCTCAAATATGATCTAATTGAAATAATTTGTGAAGCATACTGCGGCTGAATCAAAAACCGTGTCTAGATTTACCGTGGTGCTCTCATATATAGCGCACTAGTTGGTGGGGTTTTGCTTCCATGGTGCCAAACAAGTAGTTCCAAAATGCAAAGTTATGTTTTGCAAGCAGGATCATGACGGTGCCATGCCAAACAAGCACTTCCAAAATGCAGAGTTCTGGTGCACGAATAGGATCATGACGTGTGGTGTGGGAGAGATTGACCCATCCTAATGCTGAACTGCATTGTTAAGGAATAATTAACTCAAATCGCTCAAGTGATCAATAAATAATTTGAACCTTAATTCTAATGTACTAAAACAAATAGTTAAAAAAGACCTACCCACCTTTGAATAAAGTTAGTTGGAGGAAACATTTTCCCCTTCCATTTTCTATTTTATACAAATTGTGGATTTCTAAGTTTGCTTGTATGTACTGTATATGTAACTTTAGAATGAAAATGGTTTGCGGGTTATCTAGTTTGGCTTGTTGTGAGGAGTGGCACGTGTGAGAACTTTATCTTTTGGAAGAAAAGGAGGCAAGAATAGAAACAAACAAATCATAAGATGGTGCGTCAAATCATGAACGCTATTCTGTCAGCAAAGAATTTATGTTCGTGAATTGATATGCGATTTTTGGGATCCTAAATCTCTGTGTGTGACTTGTGAACCCCATCCCAAACTACTCAGCCACATACAATTTTTTTTTAAACAAAGTAAGTTCATACTTTTTTCCAAACAAAAACATTTCAAATATGATTTATTTAATATATTCGATTCTAACTCCATTTTCATCAATATGCTATTTTTTATTTTAATAAAATCAATGGACATATAGCACATTATGAGAGATTAATTTATACCAAAAATTTCAATTATCCTCACTTCTATATTATTTCAATTTTTTATTCAATCATTTTACTTTAAACTCACTACTGGGTTAAAACCAACCTCCTTTTCAATTAAAACAATATATATTAAACTAACATAATATATATATTTAAAATATATAAATAAGTAAATTATTTCATTCTTTTTTAGTTTCAACAAAATTTAATAAAAAAATATGTGTTGATCACTCTTCCTTTTCAATTTATTACTTGTAAAATAAAAGTTAACTATACTTGAATAGGGTGGTGGCTGCATGAACTCAATAATTGGACCCATGTACTGTTAATATGATTACAATCACTACCCATAAGCATTTACTTCTGCGTGTTTTAACCTGAGAGTATTTTCATTGA